TTTTCAGCATCTAGAAACTTTAAGAACCTTCTCTCTTGCTCATCAAGGGTAGAAAGATCAGAGTTCCTTCTTGACTCAGTGGGCTCCTCTTCTCTGAGTACCCTGAGCTGTCCTCTCTGGACACAGGCAGGAAGGGTACCTGGTCCCTTGGTCCCACCAGGCTCTTGAGGAAAATCCCAGGCAGTTAAATTTGTGATTCCCAGATTCCTCTGCTGTTGGGTTTCTCCAAAAGGGGAGAGTTTTGTCAGGGTTCTCCTGAGAAACAGAACCAATGGAGGATAAATATACATAAAATATACATATATGTATATGCACACTAAAGAGCCTCTTGATGAAAGTGAAAGAGGAGAGTGAAAAAGTTGGCTTAAAGCTCAACCTTCAGAAAACTAAGATCATGGCATCCAGTCCCATAACTTCATGGCAAATAGTGGAAACAGTGGGAACAGTGAGAGACTATTTTCTTGGGCTCCAAAATCAGTGCAGTTGGTGACTGCAGCCATGAAATTAAAAGACGCTTACTCCTTGAAGGAAATTTATGACCAACCTAGACAGCATATTAAAAAGCAGAGACATTACTTTGCCAACAAAGGTCCGTCTAGTCGAGGTTATGGTTTTTCCAGTAGTCATGTATGGATGTGAGATTGGGACCATAAAGAAAGCTGAGCACAGAAGAATTGATACTTTTGAATTGCGGTGTTGGAGAAGACTCTTGAGAGTCCCTTGGACAGCAAGGAGATCCAACCAGTCCATCTTAAAGGAGATCAGTCCTGGGTGCTCATTGGAAGGACTGATGTTGAAACTGAAACTCCAATACTTTGGCCACCTGATGTGAAGAGCTGACTCATTTGAAAACATCCTGGTGCTGGGAAAGATTGAGGGCAGGAGGAAAAGAGGACGCCAGAGGATGAGATGGTTGGATGGCAACACCGACTCAATGGACATGAGTTTATGTAAACTCTGGGAGTTGGTGATGGACAGGGAGGCTTGGCATGCTGCAGTCCATGGGGTCGCCAAGAGTTGGACATGACTGAGCAACTGAACTGAAGTGACTGAAAGATATGATATGTAGTAAAAACAGGGTTTTAGAGTGAAACATATCTGTATTTGCATTCTAACTGTCTGATTTACCTTGGGTAAATTGGTAAAGCTGAGTTTCATTTGTCAAATAACTTTCTTGATAATATGGAAGTGAAATTGCTCAGTTGTATCTGGCTGTTTGTGACCTCATGGATTGCAGCCCGCCAGGCTCCTCTGTTCATGGAATTCTCTAGGCAAGAATACCGGAGTAGGTTGCCATTTCCTTCTTCAGGGGATCTTCCTGTCCCAGGGATCGAACCTTCGTCTTCTGTTTTGCAGGCATATTCTTCATTGTCTGAGCCACAAGGGAAGCCGTGATAATATGGAAGGAGATGCATAAAAGTGTTAATGACTGTAAATGTCAGTATTATACCAATGTTAGTGGATACTCCTATTTTATCATCAGTTGCTAAGCACTTAGTGCCGAGCATCTTATTAGGTGCTTTATTTTACATTCCCAGCAACTATTCTGTAAAATAAATATTTTCTTGTTTTTTACAGATGATGAAACTAAAGCTTAGTGAGCTTTTTAAAACAATTTTCTTGAAGTAGAATTAGGAGCTAAATTCAGGGCTGATTGAAGCCCTTGCTTATAGCCCTTATTCTACACTGCCTCTGATCTGGTTCACGGTGTCTGATTTTAATGTCCCGTATTGCTTTCCTTCTTCAGGAGTCACATGCTATTGGGAAAAAGCCTGAAAATTCAGCAGACATGATTGAAGAAGGAGAGCTTATCCTATCTGTAAATATCTTTTACCCTGTGATTTTTCATAAGGTCAGTAGTAAAACCTTTTGGACTTTACAGATTGTATGAGTGACTTTTGCCAAAGAGTTTATTTATTTAAACCTTATTTGAACCAAAATAAACACAAGCGTATGCTGTTTTATATGACATTCTGTTTATATTCTTGAGTTCTTTGTTTTACAAGGAATATCATAAAGTCAATTTTCATATAATCTCTTTAGTAATAGAATTACAGTTACAATGTTGGAATGTATACCTGATTTCTGTACTAGTAGCCACTGAAAGTGTGTAAATCTGCAGTGATTCTGATAGTATTATTTCTTGAGGGTTGTTTTTTTTTTTTTTTTTTAGAAAAAAATNTGTTTAGTTGTAAGAGGATCAGCTTTGATGATAACCCTCAACTGGTTTTTGTCAACTTTGGTGGCTGTCCACTACGCTCCTCATCTTCATGGTTCTCATCTCCTTTGCAAAACTTTTTGAAGTTTTGCACTGTACTGTAAGTTTGTTAGCAGTTCCTGGGCCAAACGCATTGTTGATGTTTCAAGTTGTTTCTGTTGCTTTACAACCCATTTTGAACTCGAATTAGAGAATCACTCAAATTTGCTTTTTGTCTAACATCATTTCCATAGTCTAAAACAAATATATAATAAACAGCAGGTAGTAAGTCATTAGCAAAGAAAAGTGAGAAATGTGCAATAAAGTGATGCATAACATAACCACATTTATTTACAAATATATTCCAGTATCAAACAAAAAATTTCAACAGTGTAAAGACTACAGTTACTTTTGCACCAATCTAATACCCTGTTTGATTAAGATCCTAAATTATCAATCAAAGAAAACAAAGCAAAACAAAACTAATAAAACCAAATGTGGGTAGTGTATAGATTCCTTGATTTCAGTGAGGTAGCTTTCAGGACAGTTTAAAAGTCAGTGAACTTATATTCCTAAGACTCTTCATATTAATGTCACTTTAGTAGCAATTTGGTTATAAATTTTCACTTATACTAAAAAAAGTTTTATTGCCAGGTGTATTAGTCCATTCTGGCTGCTATAACAAAATAGCACAAACTGGGTGGCTTATAGGCAACAGAAACTTGTTTCTCACAGTTCTGGAGGCTGGAAGTCTAAGATCATGGTACCAGCATCTGGTGAGCGCCCTCTCCCAAGTCACATCCTTTTTATAAAGGCACTAATCCCATTCATGAGGGGGTCCACCCTCATGACCTAATGACCCTCAAAGGCCCCGCCTCCTAACATCAGCACATTGGGCCTTAGGATTCCAGCATGATGTGAATTTTGGGCAAGGGTAAGCAGCACAGCACCAAGTGTCTGTTGTACTCATAGGATTTTAATTTATGGAGACCAGTGTCACTGAAAGATTTTCATTATTTACGTTTCCTGGGGGGAGAGTATGCCGTGTCATGCAGGACCAAAGGGGAAGTACCAGGATCAGTCAGGAGGCAAGGGGAAAGCACAGGCCACAGCCCTTATTGGTTTCCACAGGAAAGGCAAGGCAGAGCAGAGTACACAGTTTGGGATTGACTAGCTTGAATAATTCCTGGGGGCTCTGGGCTGTGGGGCTGTCCTAGTTGTCTGGTACCTGGCTGTGGTTTGACGTCAGACAGAGGAGAAATACTGACTTGGTATAATGAGAGTTAGATAGAGATAGTTTCAGAGTATGGGCTCTGGATACAGGGGAAAGGTGAATAACTGACAGTTATGGACCTATAATTAATCGATGCTGGGACTTCCCAGTGGTAAAGAAGCCGCCTTCCAATGCAGGGGGACATGGGTTCAGTCCCTGGTCTGGTAGCTAGGATCCCACATCCTGTGAGGCTACTTAGCCCACATGCTGCAACTAGAGAGAAGCCCTGCGTCACAATGAATGATCCCACATGTCAGTCACAGGGAGGATCCTACATGTCACAGCCAAGACCTGACACAGTCAAATAAATAAATAAAATGCATAAATATTTTTAAAAGATCAGTGCTGAGTAGACAAATGCAGAACCTAAGGAAACTCGGGGATACCATATTATGGGTATAACTTAAGATAACCAGTAACTTAATTTAGATCTGGCCATGACAGGATTTATAGATGAATTGCTTTGTCTCTAAGTGAACACTGATTTATTTACTGTCTGACTTGTAGCACAAAGAACATAAGCCCTACCAAACGGTGCTGGTATTGGGCAGTCAAAAGCTCACGGAACTGAGGGATTCCATTTGCTGTGTCAGTGACCTCCAGATTGGTGGGGAATTCAGCAACGCTCCTGACCAGGCTCCTGAGAACATCAGCAAGGTAAGGTGATTTTTTAAATTTCTAACCATCATAGAACAGGAGGAAATAATAATCATAAGCTAAGGAAATAGGATTACAGGCTCATAGGCATTCCAGTAAATGCTTTCTTCTGTGCTATTCCATCAAGCTTATCCCTTCTTTTTATCATCAAGACCTTTTCAAAGATGAGGCTACATTCAGTTTTGATTTCATCTCCCATTTATTTCTCAGCCATTCTTTGTACACTCTTCTTTCTAAGGGCACAGTACCACCTGATTATCTAGCCAATAGGTCTCTCTTCCATGTGCATACAACTTGACCTCACTGTAGCACTGGAATTTGCTGTTCACTCTCTCTTCTTGCAAACTCTGTGTGAGTTTGTCTGTCATAACTGACCCTAGCAGAGGGTTGGAGTCCACCCAAGAGCATCACTGGCCACAGAAGAACCTTTCAACGCAAGGACAGAAGCAAACAGGGACACACCCTGTGACATTGGGCCTTGCTGGTACTTCCCAGGGTGCTGCTCTCAAAACAACAGTGAAACCTTCCATACTCACTGAAACAGGATAGAAAGGCAGACTGGCCACCCACAATTTTCAGAAGGGATTGCTTACTCAATAATGTAGTAGGGCCTGGATCCTTTGAATTTCATCACAGAGCAAGCTTGACCCAATTCTATCAGCTTGTACAACTCTGGCAGAGGACCTCAGACTTACTGACATATTTAAGAGGGACAGCATCTCCTGTAGGTCACTAAAAAGCTGTTTGGAATGAATGGCAATAGAGTTTGGATGTGAGCCATCAGAATCTCTTTTTGCTCGTTCCTTTATCATCAGCCACATAAATGCCATTATAACTTAGATCTCGTCTTAACTCTTATTCTAAGTTCATCTCCTGGGCTTTCCCCCCATTTTAATTTTCATGGTTTTAAGTATACTCTAGTCTTTATGAATCTCTTTCTCTCTTGGTTTCCAAGCTCGTTCTTTTTAAGTGTCTACTGGACATTCTCACTTAGCCTCAGTGCTGCGTGGCATTTTTACCACCTCTCTATAGTTGGTACACCCTTCCACTTTTCAAGGTAACTGTTTTGTTCCTTCTGAAACTGCCAACATCTTTTCCTCATCGCTTCCCTTCAGCTGCTGTCCATTTCATTGAGCAAATAAGTTATCAGAAAAGAATTTTCCATCATCTCTCACCCACACTTACCCATCTGCCCATGCATTCTGCCCTCCCACCTGTTACACTGGATGGATTAAAACTGTTGCTGTCAAAGGCCAGTCTAGGTGTCTGCTAGATTCCAACCCCACTGTATAACCAAGGACTTTTTTCTTGTACTATCCCCTTTTTTTCCCTGCCTCATCAGCTTTTTCCCTTCTGTTGCCTATCCCATCAGTACACAAATAGCCTGTAATATTGCCTATCCTAAAACCTCTTACCATGTATCTTCCTCTGGCTACCATCTCATTTTTCTATTTTCTTTGCATTAAACTGACTCAAGAATTATGAATTAATAGTGCCTCAGCTCATTGTTTCTCTTTTTCTCTCCCCTTTGTCTTACACACACTCTTGTTCATCACCACGCCACCAAAATCACTTCATTGTTGTCACCACAAATTAATTTCTCATCTTACTTGATCTCTCTTCAGCACATGACACAAGTGAATATTCCTTCTTCCTTGAACCACTTTCTTAACTTGGCTTTTAAGTCTTTACACCTGCCTCATTTTCTTCCTATCCGACTGACTTTTTACTCCTCTGCTGGATGCTTCTGATCCTCCTAACTGGTGAATGTTACTAAGCCCTTTGAATCAAGGTGAACTTGTCCAGATTCCTAATCCAGGTTTGTATCTCCAATCTCAGTATCTACAAACTCCAGATTTATTTTTTCCAACTGCCTACTTAACCATTGCTGAACGTCTAATAGCCACTTTAAACCTAGTATGTTCAGAAACAGACTCTAGTTCTCTCTTCCTCCTCAAATCTATACCTTTCCCAGTGTTTCCATCTCAGTAAATATGCTCATTCTACACCTGGTTACTTAAACCAACAACCTTGGAATCATCTTTGCCCCCTTTTCATCCCACATGGAAGGCGTCAGCAAGTGCTTTGGCTCTACTTTCAAATTATGTTTAGTATCTGCCCGTGTATCTGCTTCACAGGTAGCAGCCTGAAGAACCACCATCATCTCTTGCCTGAACTATGGAGTTGCCTAGTGACCATTCCCGCTGCTCCTTTTCACCTTCTGTTTATCCTTTACACCAAGCCAGAATGATACTCTAAAGTATCAGGCAGACCCTGTTGCTTTTCAACTTGAAAGTCTATAGAGGCTTCCTCTTATATCTAGAATAAAATACAAAGTCCTTTCTGTGGCCCCGTCTGCCTCTGGACTTTATATGCTGACACCCTCTTTGTCCCTTGTTGCCTGCACACCACGTGCCATTCTTGCTCTTTCTCATATATGCTAAGCAGGGTCCTGCTCAGAGCCTTTGCTTCTCTTGTTTCCTCACCTTAGGTGTGTTATTCACCCAGGTATTCTGATGGCTCACTCCCTCATTTCTTCATCTTTCTGATGTTGCCTTGACAGATCTTTCCCTCTCTTCCCCAGCCTTGCTGATAACACTCCCTAATGTTAAGTTATATGTTTGTCTGTCTTCTCTTGAACCATGAGGGTAGGGACTTTGTTTTAGGAATTATAGGAATACAGAGGAATTTAGGAATACAGAGCTGTATTTCTGTGATGATGTGTGGCACAAAGGAAGTGGTCAAGTCCTTGTTGAATAAATAAACGAACCAGAATACCTCAAGCTCAGTGTTTAGTCTTGAACTCATTACTCTACAATCTCCCTTTTTCTTCAGATGAAACTCTCCTTTTCCATTCCTCTTTATTCTGCCTGTATAGCTCCAGACTCTGTTTTTTTCCACTGCTGTGTGCTTTAGTTTAGGCCCTCAGCATCTTCTCCAGGAACTATTATAGAGACTTCTTAACTGATTTTCCCACCTTAAGAGTGTCCTATATACATGCTACTCAAGATGTCTTTTAAAAACAAATCGAACACCAAGAGGGAACTCTGGACATTAGGTGACTGTGATGTGCTGGTGCAGGTTTATCCTTGGTAACAAATGTACCGTCTGTTGAGTGGTGTTGATAATACAGGCAGGCCATGCATGTGTGTGAGGGCAAGGGCTGTATAGGAAACCTCTGCCTTCCTATTTTATTGTAAAGCTAAAACTGCTCTAAAAGAATAAAATGTTTAAAAAATCCTGTGATTCTCCAATCTAAATATTTCAGTGGTTCTCCATTGTACGTAGTCCAGGCTCCTTAGGCTGACCAATAAGGCCTTCTGTGAAGATGTTTCTCAAGTTAACTTTCTATACTATTCACCCCCCTCCTTTTACACCTTAGGCTTCAACCACAGTGAATTTATCTTCCTCAAGCATACCATACTGCTTTATGCCTCTTGAGTGTTTGAACGTGGGTGGGAAGCCCTTGCTCTCACTTATATGAGATTCTTCTTGACACTCCTCTGTGTGTGACTCTGCCATGTTTCATGTGTCGATTCTAATGCTTTATAGTCATATATGATACTATTTGATATGTTTGTCTGCCCAATAAGACTGGCTGTGTTCCAGCCTTTTTGGTGATTGGCATGGAGAGCAGCATACTTTCTGAGTTACATTGAAAATAGTTATAAGATATTGGGGTTCTTCAGGTTTGTCAGCTTGCTGCTTTTGAAGGTAAACACTGAAGAGAAACAAATGGAATCTCAAGGCTGTATGCACACTAGGAGATAGAAGGTTTATTGTTTCTTTTAAAGGAGAAGCAATCTTTTGCAAAGTTTCTCTACCCTATGAGAAAAAAAGAACACGGTATAGCTATAAGTTTATAAGATCAGTTTAATAAAAATATGAATTCACCCTCCTTATTTCATCTGTGTGATAACTGCTTGAAGCAGTGAGTCAGATCTGAGAATCAGGCTTAGCTCCAGGAACCCTGGAGAGAGTTTTTAACCAGACTTGTTTAGTTTATTGTGTTTGTACATCAGCGCTCATACCTTCAGCAGCTTTCTAACCAGGAAACTAAATGACCCATAGTCCTATTTTTGACTATTTACACATCTGCTTTTACATTGTTTCTCCCTCTTCCATGTATCAAAATAATACCCTCTTATTATTTAGCACTTATCATGTGCCAGTTGTATAATACACTAGTTGATAGTTCAGTATCTTTGGAAAGAATATCACCATTTTACAGGTAAGAAAAAGGTGGTCAGAGCATTGTCATAAGTTAACCCTGTTCAGTAAAGCAGTGGTGGAGGCTAGATTCAGACCATTGTCAACTTGCCTTCAAAGCCCCATGTTTGTCCTTTGCCATGTTGGCACTATGCCTGGCTTTCGACATCTCTCCCCTACCCTTTTGTTTATTTGGTGAACAAGCACTACATGAAAACTTGAGCTGTGCTGGTTAAGGGCAAGATTCTAGTACATACAGTTTGTGGAATCTTTGCCTGTTCAGGGACCTGTTTCATTTGTTTCCTTGTTCTCCAACTATGTTTTTAGAAAGGTGAACTCAAAATTATAAGTGAAATTTTCCTGATACTAACAGTTGTTTGGTCTGTGGAAAAATTTTTATTTCATCGATTAACATTTGGATTTCATGATTTTTTTTTTTTAAGTTTTACCTTGGAAAATTCTAAATACACACACAAAAAAGACATGCATATATGCATAGCCGAGTCCACTTGCAGTTCACCTGAAACTCACAATATTAATTGGCTATACCCTCATATAAAATAAAAAGTTAAAAAAAAAGAGAGAATAGTATAATGAGCCTTTATGTACTCATTATCTACCTTCAGTAGTTCTCAGCATTTTGCCAGAATCATTTCATCTGTTTACCCCATGCCATTGTCACACCTAACAAACTGAAAATAAGTCCTTATGTTACAATGATTTTTTTTAACAGGGAGATGTTTGGCATGTATTCTACTGGTAATCATGGAATAAATTATTTACTTGCATGTCTCGTAGCTGAGAAAATAAGAATCTTTATTCCAGTCAATAAGCAGGACTTAAATAAAATACTTTCCTTGAGTAATTTGGTGTGTGAGAGGACTAGGAGAGCTGGACCAGGGTATTTAAATCTTTTTAAAAGCCATGTCTGAAATGTAATGTGTTTTGCTAATGTTTGTTTTAGACTCTAGCACTTCAGGAATGAAGTACATTTTAAAAATATGTGTATACCTAAAGCAACTAGAAAAGGAAGAAATGAAGAACCCCAGGGTTAGTAGAAGGAAAAGAAATCATAAAAATTAGGGCAGAAATAAATGCAAAAGAAACAAAAAAGACCATAGCAAAAATCAACAGAGCTAAAAGCTGGTTCTTTGAGAAGATAAATAAAATAGATAAACCATTAGCCAGCCTCATCAAGAAACAAAGGGAGAAGAATCAGATCAACATAATTAGAAATGAAAATAGAGAAATCACAACAGACAACACAGAAATACAAAGGATCATAAGAGACTAATATCAGCAACTATATGCGAATAAAATGGACAACTTGGAAGAAATGGACACATTCTTAGAAAAGTATAACTTTCTAAAACTGAACCAGGAAGAAGTATAAAATCTTAACAGACCCATCATAAGCACAGAAATCGAAACTGTAATCAGAAATCTTCCAGCAAACAAAACCCCAGGACCAGACGGCTTCACAGCTGAATTCTACCAAAAATTTAGAGAAGAGCTAACACCTATCCTACTCAAACTCTTCCAGAAAATTGCAGAGGAAGGTAAACTTCCAAACTCATTCTATGAGGCCACCATCACCCTAATTCCANAATAGCAAACAAAGCAACTGGCAAAGAATTAATCTCAAAAATATACAAGCAGCTCATGCAGCTCAATTCCAGAAAATAACTGACCAAATCAAAAAATGGGCCAAAGTACTAAACAGACATGTCTCCAAAGAAGACTTACAATTGGCTAACAAATACATGAAAAGATGCTCAACATCACTCATCATCAGAGAAATGCAAATCAAAACGCAGTGAGGTACTATCTCATGCCAGTCAGAATGGCTACTATCCAAAAGTCTACAAACAATAAATGCTGGAGAGGGTGTGGAGAAAAGGGAACCCTCTTACACTGTTGGTGGGAATGCAAACTAGTACAGCCACTATGGAGAACGTGTGGAGATTCCTTAAAAAACTGGAAATAGAACTGCAGTATATCCCACTGCTGGGCATACACGCCAATGAAACCAGAATTGAAAGAGACACGTGTACCCTAATGTTCATCACAACACTGTTTACAATAGTCAGGACATGGGAGCAACCTAGATGTCCATCAGCAGACGAATGGATAAGAAAGCTGTGGTACATATACACAACGGAATTAAAAAGAATGCATTTGTATCAGTTCTAATGAGATGGATGAAACCAGAGCCTGTTATGCAGAGTGAAGTAAGTCAGAAAGAAGAACACCAATACAGTATACTAGTGTAGATACATGGAATTTAGAAAGATAGTAACGATGACCCTATATCGAGACAGCAAAAGAGACACAGATAGATATATAGAACAGTGTTTTGAACTCTGGGAGAAGGGAAGGGTGGGATGATTTGCCGGAATAGCATTGAAACATATATATTATCATATGTGAAACAGATCTCCAGTCCAGGTTCTATGCATGAGACAGGATGCTCAGGGCTGGTGTACTGGGACGACCCTGAGGGATGCGATGTGAAGGGAGGTGGGAGGGGGGTTCAGGATGGGGAACACATGTACACCCATGGCTGATTCATGTCAATGTATGGCAAAAACCACTACAATATTGTAATTAGCCTCCAATTAAAATAAATTAATTAAATTAAAAATAAAAAAGTATTCCTTTTACTCACTTAATCCTATTGATAAAGATTTTAAGAGTAAAATAGTAAAATATGTGTAATTAAATCAGAGTCATTTTCTGCTCAGGTTTTTTTTCCTTCAGATAGCTAGTTTGGGTTTATTTTTATTTGTCTTTTAATGGTTTTTCAGGTTTTAGTGTTAATCTATTGATCTTTTTAATATTGCTCAGATTAGAAGGTCTCTTTTTGTCAGTAATCCCTTAAAAGAACTCAGGCTTCCCTAGTGACTCAGTGGTAAAGAATCAACTTGCCAGTGCAGGAGATGCGAGTTCAGTCCCTGGCCAGGGAGAGCCACTGGAGAAGGAAATGGCACCCACCCCAGTATTCTTGGCTGGGAAATCCCATGGAGAGAGGAGCCTGGCGGGCTACAGTCTGTGGGGTTGCAAAGAGTCAGACATAACTTAGTGACTAAACAACAAGAAAGAGGAACTTTGGGACAATACTTTATGCATATATTATTGTTCTTTATTATAAGTAAAGCCTTGGTATAGGAAGAATGGTAACATAAATTTAAATTGTAAAAACTTTCCTACCCAAGCTTATCTGACATTTCTTTCACCCATTACCATTTTCCTCCTAGCAGATCTTAGGAATGTTCCTGAGGTTCCGATGTTCCAGACTTGAATGTCAGCAAGAGAATAAATGACTGTTAGATACCGAAAATGACATATAAACAACAACTTTGTTAAATGATCATACTGGTTATCCATAGTTACTTTGATAGATCTTTAGGTTACCTTAGATTATTAGTGAAAGTGAGTTCTTGCACTAATTTTTCCGTATCAGTTAGTAATTTCCCTCCCTTGGAACTTGTTTTGCTTAAACTAGCTGACAAAATAGGGAAAGTAGTTAGGATCTCTGGTTACCATTAGAAATGAAAGTTAACTGTTATTGAGATTACTCCCACCTATCCATTTATGTAATAAGGAAAAGATTTTTGTTCTTTTAGACTTCCCCTTTCTAATTAATAATTAGACCAAAGGTTTTAAGTTGCCTGAATCACTTAATGTGAAGTTCTATATGTTATGTATACTAAATTTTGTTATTTCCGAAATGAGGCAGCAGTGATTCTTTCAGAATCTTTATTTTGGATCGTAGCTTACTTACCTCTTTGAGGGTTTAGAAGTATGGTCAGTGGTGGATTTTGTGTTATAGTAGTTATGGCATTGTAGTATATCCTTTTATCTCTGCAGCCACTTGGGGAGAAGGTGTTGCCTTTATTAGGGTTTTACACGAGGAAACCGAAAGTCAGGAGTTTGAGTAGTCTGAGAAGAAACAGTGCAGCCAGTCTTAGAAGCGTATCTGACGCCAGTGCCAGGTGAGTTGTTAATAGGGGAATGAAGAAAAATAAGAGAGAAAAATCAAATCCTCAAAGTAGGAGAGAAATTAGGCCATCTTAGGATAATATTTCTTAATGCCTGAAGCTTACATAACTTTTATAAAGTTCCTAAAATGCTGTTGATTCTCACGACAGTCCTCATTGTACAGGCGAGGAAACGAAGGTCTGAGCATTAAGTGTAGGTTGAGGGGAAGGCCTCTTCTGACCCCCACCCCGGCGTGTAATTCCGAGCAGATGGCGAAGGACAGGCCTGACAGGGGTCCCCAGTGCTGCCTGCACACCTGACTTTCCTCAGGGGGTTGGGAAAATACTGGTGCCTGAGCCAGATCCTCAGAAATTTTCACTGGATGGATCTGAGGTGAGACTTGATCTATGGTGTTTTTGTGATTCTGTGAGGAGGTCAGAATTGAGACCACCGCCCTGATACAGAGTGTGGTAGTGTGAAAGCTGAAACCTGAGGATTCTATGGTACTTTGAGCAAGGTTGCTTCAGTAAGAATGGATATTCACATTCTGCTTGCCTACAAGTTATTTGAAAATATAAGGAGAGAATTTTTATAAAAGCCCACTGAAAATACAAAAAAGGATAACATAACTCCATGATCATTGTCATTATCACTGGGGAAACATCAGCGAGGTGACTTTTGTTTAGTTTTCAGTTCTGGTATCTAAAATAATTGTCACTGCTGTGTATGCATATCATAAAATAATATTGACACTTATTTCTAATTGGGTTCCTTTCATGAATCTCAGGACAACATACAAATTTAAATCAAACCTAGAGATTAAAACATCAATAGGAAAGAATTGAAAATAGTAGCAAGGATTGTATCTGTGTCTTTATCCCTTGTAACCAAGGTAGTACCTTATCGCATAGGAGGTTCCTGTTAAATATTAATGAGCTGAGCATATTCTGTGAAGGTGCATGAAATTACTGTAAAATGTACTAGTGTGATTTTTATGACATACAAATTTGGAACTAATACTTAGAGCAATTTTATAATGGTTAATACTGAATTTTTTCTTAATACGATCTGTTTTCTTTTAGGACCTATACAAATCAGCCTTCTTTTATTTTGAAGGAACATTTTATAACGATAAAAGATACCCTGAGTGCAGAGATTTGAGCAGGTATAGTTTGCAAAAATCTTCTCAAAGTCTTTGCTATTTCTCATCAAAATAGTGTTATCTCCACAATTCCTATTATTGGTGTGTTAAGGATCTTTGCCAAGGAATTATTTTGTTAGATTGTTTTATTAGTTTTCAGATTAAAAAGTCTCTCTCAAATTTTTAAAATATTTTCAAAGTTATTTCATCCAGTTGGCCTAGGTTATAGTAAGTTAATCAAATTTTTACTGCTGTGAGAAAATTTTTTTTACCAAAGACATACATAGATCATTTCAAGATCTTTGTCAGCTATCTAAACTTAAAAAAAATATATATTATCTACTGTTTCAGAAATTATAGTTAATCTTGTGTTGAATCTTATAGATAACATCTGGAAAAAAGTAAATTCTACTTCAACACTTTATTAATCTCTGTTCTTCATATTCAGGTGGTAGTAAATTAATTCACTTTTTTTTTATACTTGTCAAGTATACTATTTGTCTTAGGTGAGTGGATATATATAAGTTGTTTATGTATGTAACATGAAAAATCTATGTCTGACATCATGCTATCTACATAAAAGTTTACCATACTTTAATCACTGGTGTCCTGACAACTAGAGTATGTATATATGTATAGTTTTTCTGAGTGTTTATATAAACTCATTCTCTTTCATTATAAATACTTGTATCTGTATTCTAATGCAGCAGTTCTCAAAACTTGGTCTCCACACTCCTTCATACTGTAAATAATTGACTCCAGAGAGCTTTTATGTGGGTTATAGCTGTAAATATTCACCATACTAGAAATCAAAACTAAGAAATATTTTTAAATATTAACTAATTTAAATAATCTGGGCTTCCCTGGTGTTCCAGTGGCTAAGACTCTGCCTTGCAGTGCAGGGGACACCAGTTCAATCCCTGGTCTGGGAAGATCCCACATGCCACAGGGCAACTAAGCCTGTGTGCCTCGGCTAGTGAACCTGCGCTCTGGGGTCCAAGGGCTGCACCTGCTGAGCGCACATGCCCTGGAACCCATGCTCTGCAACATCAGAAGCCACCAGAACGAGAAGCCCACACCACAACTGGAGTAGCCCCTGCTCTCTCCAACTAGAGAAAGCCTGTGTAGCAATGAGGACCCAGTGCAGCCAAAAATTAAAAAAAAAAAAATAGTCCAATTACAGTTACCATTAATGACATATTTGTGAAAAATAACTTTCCCAAACAAGTAGAAGAGTGATGTTATACATTTTCCATTCAATCTTAAGTGATTACACATCAGTTAGCCTCCTGAAAACTGGTGTTTATGAGAGAAAAACCGGTTGAAAGGGCAAATAACATTTTAGGATTACTGCAAAGATATTTTTGACCTCCTCAACCTCTGGGGGGTTTCAGGACCTTACCTTGTTAACTGTTGTTCTCATGGATACAGAAAAATTCAGAGGTGGATACAAAAAAAAATCAGAGTTCCTTCCTACTTGGCAACATGTATAAACCACTTTGATTTTCACCTCAAGATGGTAATTGTCCAATTAATTGGGTGAGCCAGCTTATGTGAAATACTGCAGTTGCAAACTGTTTGGAGCAATGATACATCCTTGCCTTTTTCCTCCTCAGAACCATCATTGAGTGGTCAGAGTCCCATGATAGAGGCTATGGAAAGTTTCAGACTGCTAAGATGGAAGACTTCACCTTCAATGACTTGTATATCAAAGTGGGTTTTCCTTACTTATACTGTCACCAGGGAGACTGTGAACATGTTGTTGTCATTACTGACATAAGGTAAGTGGTAGCACTCAGAACATTTGTCCTGTTTTATTTCACAGTAGAAAACCATGGGTAGATTTGTTTGAAATAAGAGGAATAAAAGAAATGATCACTGCAGCTTGACTCAGGAGCAGCAAAAATGTTTGCTTTTTCTACAGTGACCCACTCTGCATCTGCATCTTGTCTTTTAGAAAATCTGTAATAATTACTGTTTAACCAGTGTGAGCCATTTGAAATGGTCCAACTCTTTGTAATGCCATGGTCTGTCCATGGAATTCTCCAAGCAAGAATATTAGAGTGGGTTCTCTGGAGAACCCCCATATTGTATTTCTGAAGAAGATCCCTTCTTCAGGGGATATTCTTGACCCAGGGATCAAACCCAGGTCTCCTGCATTGCAGGCAAATTCTTTACCATCTGAACTACCAGTGAAACCCTATTTGAAATGGTAGAATATGCCAAAAATCAAGAAAAATAACTGAAGCTTCTCCTCTGCCCAAAGACAGTGTATGACTTCTGTGAGTCTCCATGGGCCCCCTCCTCCATTAAACAATACTAAAAATTATATTTTATCACAGTGCTGGTATTAAGACAGATACAATACAGGCTAGATTTTTGCTATAAAAATATTTATTTAGGGGTTAGAAATTTGTAAATACTCTATTGTATCTTCATTTGTGTATTGGACAGCTGTTATTCAAGTAGTAATCATCCATTTTGTGTTTTATATAGACCCTTTGCTTTGCAAACCTGCACGTGCATTTCTAAGTTTCTTTTCTTTTTGCCAGATTTTGAAGGAAATAAAAGGGAACTGGAGAAAGAGAAGAATAATTCTAATGTTTGACAAATATGAAGACTTAGTGCTTTGATAAAGATTTAGAGTGGGAAGGACTTAAGTAGTCTTAAATGAGAGTTAGGGATTATAAAGTTTGTGTAGCTGGTATCTCTAGTGAATAAAGCTTTTCATTTCCTTATTAGGAAACCTTTGTTTATGAAAGACTACCATAGTATAGGAATAAGCTCTGCTTGACCCTTGGTCTTGGTTTGATTTCTTCTGAGAGATAGTGAAGATGTTCTTATGGAGCAGTGACTCATGCTGATGGCTTTCCCTGCCTCTACCTTTTTTTTTTGTTTTAGTGACCAGTCTCCAAAAATTTACTTCCCATGTCCTCATTCTTAGGAACGTAAAGAGTACACCTTGAAAAAGGAACACATGGAATGCAAAGCAGGACAGATAAGACATAAGGAACTCTCAGAATGATAGCTGTCGAGCAGACCTAGAGAACAGCTTAGTCCAGAGACTGGACCCGAGGACTCAGGAAGCACGTCCCAAGGCTGCTAGACCTCCCACTGGTGTGTGGCCCGTGTGAAGAGCACGATCCCATTCTGTCAGCAGATAGGGAACTGAACTAGTGACAGGTACACTGAAACCTAATAAGGAATGCAAACATGAGATAATCAGTAGCTAGAAAACAAGTGTTACATGAGGAAATGAACCTATGTGAACTTGTGTGGTTTAGGGACATGTTTAATTCATTAATCATAATGTAAACATTAAATATCTATTTAACCAAAGTTTAGTAGTTCTGTAGAGGGATGTTGAAAAGCGGTATTAAAAAGAGGCAGTTAAATGAATGGAAAACAGTTGCCTCTCAGGAAGAATTGCTGAAGCAAGAGCCAGAAGTGCTCATAAACCTCATAGATTTAAAGGACTTAAAATTATATATTTCTTTGATAATGTATTTCTTTTCTAAGTTTTATATAAGCTGTTCTGCTTGCTCTTTACTCAGATGAGGGGGAATATGCCTCAGAATAAGCATGAGATGGAAGACAATCCACTTTTCTCTGATGATCTAAGTGTCCTTACATTTCTCATAGTGTAGGCTGTACAGCATCATTCCTGAAATTCAAGGCAACTTAGAAGAGCAATTTTCACTTACTAAGCATTTGCTGTGTAGGACTTTCCTAAGGAGTTTTTTTAATGTAATTGACTACAAGTATTGAAAAAGACCCTGATGCTGGGAGGGATTGGGGGCAGGAGGAGAAGGGGATGACAGAGGATGAGATGGCTGGATGGCATCACCGACTCGATGGACAGTTTGAGTAAACTCCGGAAGTTTGTGATGGACAGGTNTCATTGAAAAAGACCCTGATGCTGGGAGGGATTGGGGGCAGGAGGAGAAGGGGATGACAGAGGATGAGATGGCTGGATGGCATCACCGACTCGATGGACAGTTTGAGTAAACTCCGGAAGTTTGTGATGGACAGGTGTGGTGTCCTGTGATTCATGGGGTCACAAAGGGTCAGACGTGACTGAGCGACTGAACTGAATTCTTCCCTCAGTTGGTAAAGAATCCACCTGCAATGCAGGAGACCCTGATTGGATTCCTGGGCCGGGAAGATTCCCTGGAGAAGGGAAAAGCTACCCACTCCAGTATTCTGGCACAGAATTCCATGGACTGTAAAGTCCATGGGGTTGCAGAGTTGGACACAACTGTGTGACTTTCACAAGTAATTTTTATCTTACAGGAGGATTTAATCACTCATTGCTATCCCATAGTTTAATAGTTGGTAAGCTATCAAGTTTATTAATCATTTTCTGATGAAGAACATGGAAGCCTTCATCTTGGAAGGACATGCTGCAGTCCATGGGGTCACAGTCAGACACGACTTAGTGACTGAACAACAAATCATTTTCTGATGGTGAAGTTAATATAGTGCTACCCTTTGTTACTGAAAAAAAGAAAAAACATTTTATACTTCTTAAGGGGTTTTCAGAGTACTATTGTGCATGCCCTTCATTTTTCAAATGAAGAATTGGGGGGTCCAGCGTGGTTAAGGATTTATCCAAACCCACTAAGCTGATTAGTGGTGTAAACTGACTTTCCATTTTTAAAATTTCTTAATTCTGACACCTAAAAGTAAAATCCTACCAATTCACATTATACCAAAGCCAGATTTGGATTTTTAGTAGAAGTTTTTTTAATTAAAAAGAGCCATGTTTGTAATTCAAAACCACTTAATCTATAGCACTGAGTACACTTTCTCAAACTGTGTTCCATAAAAAAAGTACTTAGTAAACAAAGCACGGATTTTTAAGAAATTCACCCAGGTAATGCTGCCTACAACATTTCCCTCTCAAAGAGTCACAGTGTACGTGGCCCTAAAGAGACTTGTGAAATTTCACAGAAAAGTGTTTAATCCCAAATGTCTTTTGGAGAAAGTGTTTTATGGAACATAACAAATTTAAAATATACCTACTGTGTTCTTCATTTTGAGGTAAGGATGTATTTCATTACAGCTCACAAAAATTTGCACATCATTTATTTTTTCATGTACAAAAGGCTTGTGCATCATGACGACTGCCTGGATAAGACACTTTATCCCCTTCTTATCAAGAAGCATTGGCTCTGGACCAGAAAATGTTTTGTTTGTAAAATGTTCACAGCTCGGTAAGTCATTCTACTTTTTTCCTTGGGAAGTATTGGTTTTCAATAGTGAAGCACTTTTGATCTTTGGTATTTGTTTTTTTCTGTTTTGAATTGAGGACTTATACTTTGGTATATATATAAAGAGTTTTATCCAGTTAGAAAGCACTACAAATAGTAGTACAAATTAGTTTAAGCTACAGCTGTGTTTTTAAACAATAAGCAATTGAATTTGGTATAACAGAAGTCTAGGGACTAGGTCAGACTTTATAGTTTGGTTGATAGCTTATGCTGGATGATGTCATCAGGGAGCCAGGTTTTCTTTCTGCCTCTTGGCAGCAGTTTCCAAAATGGCTTCATCCACAGCCTCTCCATGATAAAAATAACACTTGGTCTCATTTTTATTTTAATAAGGTCACAATATGGTTTTATACAATTCTGTGGTTTTGCATGTTTAGATTATGTTTAACTATGAATCACTCATAAAACCATCCAGAGGAAAAGGGAAGAATGTAATGTCATTAGTGTGTTTTGGGTTCCCCACCACAACATGCTTTTCTAAATGATTGATAGAAAACACGATAAATCAGTTATCAGATCAAAATGGCAATCAGGGAATGAGATGCATATTCCATGAGATGCACATTTCAGATACCATTTTCACTTAATGTGACATTCCTGGTTAAAAAACAAAATCTCAGTTGACTAATAGTTACCCATATTCCATTTGCATACCCTCTGTATTTAACATTTTATCCTAAACTCTAGGTTAATGTTTGAAGGCTAAGTGTCGTTCAAGCGATGATACTTTCAAATATGGATTTATATTCTTTTCTACTTACCTTTAAGGAGAAATCTTTCAGAGAAAAGTTGTCCTTTTTGCCTTGTAGAATACTGGTAGTGTTATGTCTGTACCTGTATATGTGTATACAGTATTATATAAAGGATCATACTGTATAAATAAGATAGAATAAGGAAATAATGGGAATGTTACCTATACATATTACTACAGCACATTAAAGCATGAAAACGTTGATTGTAATGATATACATCTTTTTTAACTACAGATGGGTGACGAACAATGACAGTTTTGCACCACAGGACCCATGTTTCTTTTGTGATGTTTGCTTCCGAATGCTCCACTATGATGCAGAAGGCAACAAACTGGGGGAATTCCTCGCTTATCCCTATGTTGATCCTGGAACCTTTAATTAATATCCAAAAGTGTACCCTTGTGAAATAACTTGGTTACTTTACTTCCAAGAAATGCCAACCTGGAACAGGATCCACCAGAAACAAATCGGCTAAAGTTGTCATCCCCACAAAGAAAAGTTCAAATCACAGATCTTCGTAAGCAGTCTGAATGTATTTAAATATTTGAATTAAATTATTTTAATATTTATTCCAAAGTATAGTTTCTTGCCCATTTTTAAGTGAGTCGTCTATTGAATTGTAGGAGTGCTTTATGTATTCTGAATACAAATCCTTTGTCATACATTAAGTATTCTGGTTTTCTCCCAGTCTGTACTTTGCCTATTTGCTTTGTCCAGAGGGGTTTTTGCTCCTCTACCATTAGCAAAATTCTCCTAAAGATACATCAAGTGATAGAAGTGTTTTGAAAATTCTTTGAAGAATATGAGAGCTACACCTTGTACCATGAGGCTTCCAAGGTAAATATCCTTCAAATATCTGTAATAAAAATGGAGAGGTTAAGAATAAAAGTACTTAATAAATACAGTATTCAGAAGAGCTATTGTGTAATTTTACACTGAACTCTTTGTAATGTTAGGTTTTATTTTGGTAAAACCTAGGAACACTAAACATTTCAAGACTCACTACATGAATAATGAATGTATAAAGAGCTTGGGTATATACTCATAACTTCATAGAAGTAACACTTAAATTGAAGCTTTATTTCTTGACCAGAACTTTCTGGAATCACAAATGCTATTTAAAATGTATGATGATTTTAATATTTTTATGATTTAAAGAAATAGATTTTATCTAACATAACCACTGAGTGGAGATGGGAAATCAAGATCCCATGGATTGCTGGCTCTACATCACTACTGTTTGGCAACAATACCCAGCATTCTATGCAAAAGGAAAACAACTTGTTTTTCTAGCCCAGCTCTTCATTCTTCTGGTACCTTTGTTGTGATCATCTAGTTATCCAATTCTCATTTGGGGCCAGAGGACAACGTTGATAATTTTGAGGAAGATCTAGATCCATCAGAGAAAATTGTAGCTACTTACATTATTTTATTGAAATACTCTTGAAATCTTTTTTGGTGTAAAATATTTAATACTTTGCTGGGAAAGTATTAAGCAGAATTAAATTTTTAAACATTTCAAATGTTTAAAAATGTACTTAAATTTCACCTTCTCTCTTCTAGGTTGTATTTATATTCAGCTGAATTCCACTTTCCCTGGATGGCTGAGAACATTTACCATATAAATCAACTGATGAAGCCTGTAAGATGTGTGTTTAAAAAGTTGACAATAAAATGTTTTATGGACTTATATGCCACTTAAATCAGTTTAAGTCAACTGTGGTATGTAGAAGACAGTCACCTGTCACCTGTTTTTAGTGGCTGTAGTCACTGGTTCAGTCAGTACACCAGAGAGTCAGCATAAGAAACTAAGAGGTCCCTTCATGGCTGGCTGGCTGTTATTGCCTAAATGTTTACTTTCATGTCTCCAGTGATGTTCAATTTAAACCAACTGAAAATCCTGCTGGAAAACCTGAGATTTATCTAATTCCTTAAAAGTTCCACAGGTAAAAATGAATTTTTGCTTCCTTTATTTTTAAACTGCATTCTACAAGGGTCTCTTTACTTCTGTTTTCATCATTTCATAATCTCAAAACAGCAAATTCCAGAAAGTGTATTGTCTTAAAGCAGCATTAATGTATGTGTTGACCAATCAACTCATTTTACTGGCAGAGAAATTAGAATGTCAGTTAAAACATTATATTGCTATTAAAATTCCTGTTTTATTATTTATTGAGATTATTACTCTGTGGTTCTTAAAGCTAACATTTCCATCAAAGTTACAAAGGCTTAGATACCTATCTTCATTTCCTAATGAGATCTAGAGGGAAAAGAGCCGTATTGTCTTAAAACTTGCCAATGTGCTGCAAATCAGTTATACATGTCTCCCACCTAAGTTCATGTTGAAACTCCTAATTTTGAAGCAGATATAAGAGATGCCTCGAATCAGGGATTTTGTAGCTGTAAAATTCAGTATTAAACACGTTAACTGTTAAACTACATATAACCCTTTATCTAATGAAGAGGGCAGATATGAAATGTCATGAACTTACTAATTAATATCCTATGTTAGAAATGAATCAATTTTGATACAGTAGTGGATGGACATGCACAAAATTATTATCCAGAATTCTAGATATTGAATTATTTTAGGCTCAGTAGCCTTTAAAGATTATTTGACCCTTCTCCTGATCAAACTGCAGTGTTTTTATCATCTCTAAAGTTAGAAAATTACACAGCAGATTATAAATAATTATAAACACATTTCTGCCTAATGTAACTATGGCTTTGTTATTTCCAGTAGATCTGGCCAACTGGACAAAATTAAGTTGTGTTAGTGAAGGCTTCAGAGCCTTGTGAAAGCCTTTGTACAGAATTAGATGGCACACCTCATCTTGACTTGACATCTTTAACCAGGTAAGTGTGTGTGGGTATGCGATGATCAATGCATCAGATGCGATGATCAATGCATCAGCAAACTGGGTAAAATCTATCATCCTACTATTTGGAAGTCACAGGATATACTAGCAAATATGAGGCTTAAGGTATTCTAGTCAAGCTGTTTACACATACAGAGTGTTCAGCATCTTCAGTCTGGATGATACATCTGAAATTTTTCCAAAGCACCTGAGAAAACATGCAACAATGGATTCTGCTGGGTCACTGCATAATTTACTCTTTGTAAACTTATTTTTAAATGTTACCTGGTGGTTTAAAAAAAAAAAGCACAAAATAGATACTGCGTATACATTTAAAAAAACATGCTTGGTGGGGGGCACTAGCGATCTCATTTAAAATATCTCTTCCAGATTTATTCAGCTATGGAGTTTTGACCAAATACAAATTTAAATTGAACCAGTGCTCCTAAAGATTGGTAATTGTTCATAGGACTTTTCCTTAGAGTTCTTGAGAATGGTTTATCTGTCAATCAGCCTATGAAAAAATTTTCTTAGAGACTAAAGAGAAGGCAACTGTGTTTTTAACGCTACATAAATCAACTGCCTAGAGCAAAGTATCAGACATAAAGTTTCAGAATGACACTGTTATCTCCAGAATTTCAATTGTCTATGGTTTCCTGGTAAAACTATGTAGATCCCTTGGGTCACTAAAGGGCATTTCCTTAATTTTTGTCATTTTGAGCTTACGTTTTAGTAACCTGTGTTCCCAAATAATACAGTTTCTATGACCACGTTATACTCTCTTGGAAGCAAATCCAGAATTCCATCCCACTTTTTTATATGGCAAAGAAGTAATTTACTAGTGAAGTTTGATAGAAAAATTCTTTAATCAAAACAAGTTTACATGTTGACACTTATGGCTTAACTAGAATAAATTTGTCCAAGTTTAAATTGTGTAAGGACCAAACAGATTTAATATCCAGAGTTCCCTCAGAACAGTGGGTCCTAGTTCCATTGTAAGGCCTCTCAAAAGCAAAACTCCAATTACTGAAATGATTCCAAATTTTCATCTAAAGATGAAAAAAATTACCCGAGAGGTCAAAGCATACAATGCATGTCACATGCAAACACTGGTATTTAAGCCTTTTCCCCGTATTCCTAGTTTCCAAACATGAGAAGCATATTTTAAGCTACTGCAAACCACCAACTGACCTAGTATTCAAAATATCTTAGAAATGATGTTTGTTAAGGTTGTTCTTAAAATTTTGTGTTAACCTTTGTTCTGATTTAGTCCATATACATGAAAATACAGACAACTCTTTTACTTTTGTCTACTGCCTCGGAGTAACTAACTTTTTGCAGTCCTTTCACATGTATGCATTAGAAATAAAAATTCCCTTCTCATATAGTCATGTTTTCAAATAGGTTTGTTTCCTTATATAGTATTTACTTTTATTTACTGCAAAAAGCATTATGGATTGCATTTTTTCCAATTAAAAAAATACTTAATGACTTCTTTAATGAGTGGGACTTTTTAAAAAATTCAGAAACTCGAGACATTTCTCAAAAATAAACTTTTATCATTTAGTTTTGTTTCAGCTACTACTGCATGTAAAGGATCTTAAATGGTTGAACCCTAAAAGCCAGATTTATTCCTACATACACTCCTGCTTACTGCAGGAAACTCATGTGACTTTCACTGAATTCTCAGCCACAAAACTAAATTACCTTCAGAAGTTAACATGAGTTTTGCACCTCGTAGAATTGTCAGTTCAATGTCAGTTGGGTATCTAGTTGTCATACAAAAAGGCATACAGACTGCACATTACTACAAAGCAGCAGAATCATGTAGCACAAGGTAGATTGAGATTAAAGTCAACTTTTGATAAGAGAAAGGAAGGAGTGAGTACTTGTATAGAAGTAACATTTTATCAACCATAAAAATGCTTAACTTCTACAAAACCCACAACAGTGAAAAGACAGTCTGGTAAATCCAATTTTTGTAAAAACTATGCACAAAACCCACAGTATCTGGGAAAAGAGGAAAAGTTTTATACAAGTAGCAGTTTTAAAAATGTAACTTTTTTCTACTATCAATTACACATTAACATACACATACTAACTGAAAATATGCTACAACCAATGTCTGGAAAAGCAGTTGAACATTTCCTAAGTGAACCTCCCCTCACATTTACCATATAATGTAGCTGTTAATACTGCACAAGTACAATTAGCAATGTTTAGTCACTTTTAAACAAAGATAAGGAGATTTCTCCCTCAAAACAAGTTTTAAACATCAAAACCTATGTTTATAAAAATTTAAAACTTTCAGCAATCTAAATATTTCAAATGAAAACCATTACAAACTTCTCAAATGTTCTTTATATTCCAGGTATGTCAACCTAGTTATCTAGTGTAGAATCCTTCAGAGATATTTCAGTCTCTCTCTCTTCACTGGATGGCCTAAAGAAAAAGGGGGAAAAAAAGGTGTGACAACTGGGATTAGGGGGCTTTTGTTCCTCAGGAGAAAAAAAAAAAAGATACTATATCTGTGCATTATGTTTTTTAAAATGTTAATTATTTTTTTGTTGTAAATTTTATTTTACTATGTTGTGTTTTCTTCCCAAAATAATATGCAGATAAAACAAAATAACTAAAGGGAAGCATCATGGCCCAGGCCGTTTTCAGTCATTTCTAGCTTTAAAATGAGTTCTCTTTAAAGAACATGAAAATGTATCTATGGTACCAACCTATTATAAATCTTCAGAAAAGATTTCCCTGATAATCAAAATTAGAAAGGATGCTTGGTTCCAAATCCTGGAAATGTACAGTGGACAAATCAAGATTTGGGTAACTATAGTTCCATACGTAGTTATTTTAGCATGGGTATCATAATATAGCCTACGATTCTACATCTAATTTCTGCATTATTCTGTCAAAAGTCAAAGTGTGAACATGAGTCATTAGTACAGGTATTATCAATGGAACAAGTTCAAGGAATAGTAATTTTTTTCTTAAACAGGATTCCTGCTTAGCTCTATTCCCTTGAATACAATGACACATTAGTTTTAAATAGTTTCTTTATAGTTTGGCCATTTTGATATGTCTTGAATCCTTAATTCAGGAAGTGAGTCATGAAAATATAATCCCTACACAAACGATCTGGGATCAGCAATGTGATTTAAAAAGTAAAACATTACAATGCACTAAAGTATGTCCTCACTTTTTCTTACTGCTGGCCTCGTGGTTGTCTTTGCTTTCTTCATTGCTGTCTCCATTGTGTTGTGGTTGATTACTGTCTTGAGCATCCGATCCTCCATTTAGAGTCTTTGAACCTTTAGAAAGATACCAGTAGGAAAACTGTTAGAGCTTTGAGGACATCTTAAGTACTAGGAAGACCCAAATTCTAGAACTAAACATGGCTCCAAAGTTCCTAACACTGTATTTTATGTGACATTGCATTGTAATCCTTTGGGTAGACAAGGCACAGTAAGAAACAGGGTTACTACCTATATCTATTCACAAAAAAAATAGACTACTAATCTGATTATTCCAATTGTTACTGTTGTCAGAAAGTTACTAAAGGGTGGTACAATTCTTTAGAGCATAGTGATTTATTCCAGTTGTTAGAAAAAGCAATGTAAATCACAGTAAAATTTTGTATTTAAGAACAGAAGGTGGCAAAATAGTTAACATGATTTTTTCTTCTTACTTAGAAAATGATGAGGGTTTCCCTGTAAATATTATTTCATTATCAAACCTCTGGTTTGTTATCATTATCACTCCCTAGTAAATGAGTTAAGAAAATCCAACTCCTTTTGAACACTTTTTCTATGTTAGGGAGCTGCTGCTA